AATTCCATTGGAGCAGCTTGCAGGGGTACAGGATGAAAAAAAGTCATCACTGAGTTCAGAGACGGCTTTCTGAGCCACAAAACTCGGACTGCTACAGGTGGGCTCCTCGGAGACAATAGCCTTGTTCTTAAGCAACCAGTTCCTCAGGTATTGTATCCTACAGTCACAGTGGAAAGGGTTCCCAGACAGTGAGGCCTTTTTCAGACCAACCAGACTGTCAAACATGCCTGGAGACACAGAGGTGAGCTGGTTGTCCTGTATATAGAGCTCTGTTGTGTCTGCAGGCAGGTGAGGCAGCTCATTGAGGTTTAAAGTGCTGCAGTTGACTTGCAGGCCAGCAGGCAGGAGGGCTGAACATGTGCAGGGTTTACGGGCAGTGTGTGCACTTGTTACAGCCGAGTGAAGGAGGACAGCTAAGCTTAAACTGAAGAGCATCCTGCAGGATCAGAAAAAAAAGTAATTCCCTGTAATCTTTAGTTTGCATAATAACAAGAATAGCGAGACTGCTTATAGTGCAGCAATAAGCAAGCATTTCAAATATAGAAATCTTAAAGCAGTGAAACATAAAGCTAGTGTGGGGCAAAATTAGCACACAGAGAAAAATAAAACATCAACATTCCATAACTTGATCTAACCGTTATTGACTTTTAGAGAATCTTGGAGCTTAAAAAAAAAGTATTCTAATACAGCCAAATAACAAAGTGAAACTAAAATCCAGAAAATGTTTAAGTTTGAAGAGAACAAACCTTTAAGAGCCAAACCAAATTCCAAGGCGTTCCTTGGGGTGCCGGTCATCTTTAAAATATCATTTTATAGGCTACATATGGTCAGTCCTGGTCCAAATGTTTCATCTTGATTTAGGCGCAATTCAAAAGTCCAAGGTTTCCTCCTTTTGTAACTGACGTGTTAGTTAAGGTTTAAGTAACAGTACGTCAAATACAGAGAGCAACGTCAGTTTGAGGAACACACCAATAACACATTCCACACCAAGGAAACCCATCTGCTTGCAGGAGATAAGTTTATCTTTTAATAGCAGAGGCAGAGGCTAGCTGGAGCTCTTTCACACTGTGTTCATTCCTGACATCCACTGCAGAGCTGAGGCAAAGGGGGCACTCTACTGCAAAACAAGGTTGGGCTTTTTCAAGCTTTGTGTGTGTTTGAATTTAACCAAGAGATATTCAGAAAGTTGAATGAGCTCGAGGCTGAGACAAAATGTTTGTTAATGGAAATTGAGCTGGAAAGCAGAGTGGACGCATTGATGCTGAATGATCCAAGAGAATCTAGAGAAGCCGTGCTATTATCATTGAACCCATGAAGAGAAGAGCTGTGTGGCAGGATCACCAACTCACCCATAGGTGGTGTCATGCCACATATTTTCCACCTCATTTTATTAGCACTTTAATGTATGCCCTCTAGTGGAAATGCTGCAACACTAGTGGGAAGTATTGTTGGAGCCTGGAAGTAAAGATAAAAGAGCCTGAAGGTAAGGCTCTAATGTGAAGTGCATTATACCAGAAACAAATGGTTTCTCTTTGATTCCCGCTGAAAGCTTCCAAGTACGATAAAGTATTTTACTTCTGAATCGAAAAGTTTCTGGAGAGCAAGAACAACACGTGCATACCATAAGTCATATATTTGTTTATTTTGCGTTCCCAACATTGTCACAGTTGAAGTTTTACAATAACTGGGGTCTTACTGACTCACTACTCACTGTACAAACAGAATGCACATAGAAATGAGGCCATTCTTGTCTTTTCATGTTTGTTTTTTTAAATGTGTCTCACACCAGACTGAACAGCTTGCAGCAGGATGTGTGTAGGTTTGTGTACAGTATGTGTGCGTGTGTGTAGGGTGGAGGCTGTATGAAAAGAGAGCTGGATGTAAAATGGCAGCAAACTTTCTAACAGTCTGTGTTTGATTTCCACAGCAAATGTCACTTCATGACAGCTGGAGGCAGAGACAATCGATATGTTTCATGTGTCACCCCTCTGATCCATCTATGAGGCGATGTATATACATCCTGATCTGAAGTGCAGGTATCAGAATAGGGCACTATTCATATACACATTATGTACAGTTCCTTTTGAAACCCCCGTCTTGGTCCCTTTACAGCTTCACAGAGATAAAGCCTCACTTTTTCCGAGCAGTTTGCACATCAAAATCCCATATTTACACCAAGACAGCCCTCAGCAACAGAAGTGCAATGTTCTTTATGTTTGTATTTTACACAATGGCTTTGATAATGAAATGCATGCCGAGCTTCGATATCTACCAGCCTAACATGGAACAACAAGAACAACATCAGGGAAATTCAAGAAGAATTAAAAAAAACAAACAAACTGAGAAGTCAAAATCTATACGCTGATTTTTTTTTTTTTTTTCCTGTCCGTCAGCTCACAGTGAAGAGGACACATGATGAACCATGCAGTGCATTGTTGGGGTCATTTCTCACAAACAATGACTGGAGACGTTTGAAACACTACAACACACACCAAAAAATAAACACAATTCTTTCGGTTTTACATCATCCCAAGATTTCAGAATCATATCAAAAATATGAAATCAATGGAAAGACACATTCAACTGATCATTAATGTCCCCTGTGTGATATGTCTGTCATCTCAGCTTCCCTTGTTAATTCACATGAGGTGAGGATAAGCCTGACTTATGGCAATGCTTTTATTTGTGAATGTTAAAATACATTTACAACCTGAATATTGGGACAAACAGTTCACTGTCACTAATTTACACACTAGAATAGATTCTTATTTGTAGAATGTAGAAAGTTCTCTTTACATATACCCAGATCTTTTGTTCAGTTTGCATTTTGTATATTAGAATTGCATTTCCTGAAAAAAATGAAAGTTTTCTCTTCCATATGTGCTTATCCAGCAAAATATTTCTGTTCAGCCCAAAGAGAAGAATTTTCCGTTTATTAAAATATATACACACATTCCTCTTCCCACCGTGAACCGTGTAAGTAACTATCTATATATTCCTTAATGAAAAAAAAAAAAAAGTATTTTTCACCTGAATCTCGTCCTGGACAACAAGAGAACAGACTTCCACTCTCAGTACAAGTCTGCATTTTCTGAACATGATTGCACTTTTTACTTGCTATGGTAACACTGATTTGTTATACAATGTGCAGAGGATAGCCTCACATTAATAACATTACATGCAAAAATCACTCACTAGACATTCCACTGAACTCCAAGTCTGTACCTCTTGGAAGAGCAGGAGGACAGCCGCACATTAATTTATTGAGAAAAAGACTCACTGACTCACTGACATGGGATCAAAAACAAATATTAATAAATAATGACGCAACATGGAAAAACGCACAGATTGGGAAGGGTCAGGTTGTTATGAATGCACAAAATCAGTACAAAGATATTGCACATTGGAAAGAAAAAAAAAATGATGAAAAAAACATTACTATGTAAGAACTGATTTTATCCACTCATTAAACCTAGATGCTGAATAATAAAAAAAAACTTAATGCAAAATAAGATTTTATGGGTATTTCTGCTTTTATTTTGAAGGGTCAAGAGGGCAGCAGTCGCATATTTTTAAAGGCAAAAAACTTCAGATGTCCGACCCGTGCTGTGGGTCTATGTGTAGCAGGAACGTAGCTTTGGAGTTGTTTATATACTTTCTATCTTCTAGCAGCCACGTGAGGCAAAAACTGAGACTAAAACAACCAACCTCGTGAGAATTTACATGAAAAGTCTGCTTCGGGGCCTCAGCTGTGATATGACACATTTTTGAAGCCCATATGCAACAGCTGCCATCTAGAGGCTCCTTCAGATCTATTCAAAAGGCAAAAAGTTCTAGAAAAGATTAAAGGCCAGTCTGAATGGGCTTCACTCCTTCGGATCTTCATCCTGTTTCCACAGAGCCAGTATAATACTGATAGAATTCATCTTTGCTGATAATAATAGTTGTAAGTATAATCTTACAAATTACTTTACGCACAATATACTGTACATGAAGTCTTGACTAAATAGATTATGCATTAATAATTGGCACATTTATTTATGAGAGCTAGGAGACAACACATATAGCTGTCATCTACAGTAAATACAGCACTAGAACTACAATGACTGAGAGGGTTGACTCAGCTCTTTACCTGTCCTTTGATTTAGTGTGAAATGATTATATCTAGGTTCTTCACTACACATGAACTCTACAGGAGGCAACAACAAATTGCATTCATAGGATGGAAAGATCTGCAAACCAAAGAGTTGAAATCTGACTTCTGTGCACGAGGAATTACGCCATCATCGTGACGGAGAAAACAGTCAGCCATGTTCTGTTCTTGTCTCCATCGCCTTTTCCTCCTGATTATGTGAAGGTAAGACGGGTAAGTTGAGGGATGAGACGGTTGGGGAGCGGCTCAGTGGGGGAAACACGTCCTTCCACAGCCGTCACAGCCAGGCGATGTTTGGAAAACGTAGAGCTTTTTTACTGTTTGCATCCCCAGAAAACCCTGATGGGGCCTGGCCTGGGATCAGGCGAACTAGTAAAAGGCCCCTGGTGGAAGATTTGAGTCTGATTTCCATCCTGCATATAAGTTGGAACTGGAGGTGAGAGAGTTGGCTGCTTGTGACTCGTCCCCATCACAGCAGCAGTTAAACACAGTGGACAGGCCATAGAGTTATGCGGTCAGTCCCTTTGGTGTAAGCAAAAGTCCCTCCTTCATTAAGTCCCGCCTCTTCTCAGCATCACACTACGGTGCTGATGCCACTGTGTTTGGGTTTCGGTCCGCCGGGAGCCGAACTCGCCTGCTGACTGTGGTGGTGAGGGGCATGCTGGGAGTGCGAGGGGTGATGGGAATGCTGGCTGTAGTGGCTGTGCTGCGAGTGGCTGTGTTGGTGTGTGTGTGAGGCGTACGCCGGGTGCTGGTGGTGGTGCGTGTGGGGAGGAGGGTGGTAATGGTGGTGGTGGTGGTAAGGCGGCGGGTTCTGTGGGACTTGGCAGTACTGGGAATGGTGGCCGTGATGTTGTACTGTGTGCACGACCTGTGCTGTGTGGTGCAGGTTGGTCGGGTGGGGTTTGTGGGATATTAGAGTGGGGTGACCCGGTGTAGGTAAAGACGGATGGCCCTGGGATGACGGTTTGCCTCGCTTGCTGCCAAAGAGCGACCCGAGGATGGAAGTAGAAGCCGAGTTAGGGATGGAGGAGTGGCCGCGGGGCACGCCCTCACGTGGCGTGGTGGCTCTTCGGCGTGTGTGTGGGCTGCTAATGATGGACCCCTGCAGGCAGGAAAAAAAGGTAACAGCATGCCCGTCAGATTCTATGCAAGAGCTACTGAACAACAGCTGCTAAACTACAGCTACACCAGCACCACCAGCAGGATGAATTCACAGTTTTCTTTTTTTTTTTTTTTTTTTTTTAGATAAACAAGTAGCAAAATGTTTTAGGGCATGCAAATGAGAAACTTAAAATGTTTTCATGGTAGGCAGCAGCAACACTAGGAATATTTCAGCTTCAAGATGAAGGGAGCCTTTTTTTTTTTAAAAAAAAGGAGCTAACTAGCTTGAAACAATAAATCTGTAACAAGCGTGATAACATAAATACCATTTGGAGCATAGATTATGACATAAACAGGGGTAGAAAAGGCAAGATTTCACCCTTTTTGCAGTCAGTGTGCCAAACCCTCTACAAGTCACACATGCAACTTGTTATAATCAATAGAGGCAGAGTTTCCACATGCAGAGGATGTGACAGGCAAACTCGTCATCCACACATTAGCATTCAACTACAAGTCAGAAGGCAGGAGGAACTAAGCTCTTGTGTGCAGACTCCACAACAGGCCTGGACCCCACCCCCCTTTGCCGGGTCCAACAGTGCTCACTATTGCAGGTAGGAATTCTCCAAAAACAAAGAAAAGCTTTTCCTTTGGCACATGCTTCATCTCAGACTGGAGAAATCCCATATGACGTCTTTGAAAGAGGAATGAAATTTTCAGGGTCCCAACGCATGAACTCATGGACACATGAAATGAGGGAAAGATGAATGAGTGAAATCCACATCTTTACTGGGGCATGAGAAGCCCCTCAGTAGACACTAAACGCTACGTTCCTCCCTAAACCTTTAGGCATGTAAGAGAAGTTGTGGATTAAAAGGGGGGGGGGGAGAAAGACTCTGACAGGGAGAGAGCTCACAAGTGGTGTACAGTTTCCTAATGTCTCACAGAGCTACCACCTTTCCACAGAGAAGAAGAAGAAGAAGAA